AATGCAGGGCATCAACCAATAGGCATGCAGCTTTCCTCTATACTTCTTGCTGATTGGCTGTTGGGATTTAACTTGATTAACACCCGCACAGAGCATTTCCACCTGCACAGAGCATTTCTTGCTGATTGGCTGTTGGGATTTAACTTGATTAACACCTGCACAGAGCATTTCCATACTGACAGTATGTCTTTATTCAAGTGTTTTGGTAGGTATTTCAAGCTTTTCTGCTCCAGCATTGGAATGCGGGGCATGAACGTTTTTTATTTTATTTTGAAAATCAACAGTTTGCATTATGCAATTAAAAATCCTAACCAATAAAGTAGGGAATAGCTATCCAACTGTTGTTTTAGTTGTATGTTACTTCATATTATAGTTATATCAATGTAAATCATTGTTTTCCCTTGTGTTTCTCATTCTTTCCCTGCCATGTGGTAAAATGTGGTGAACCCATCGCTGTATTTGCTCCAAAGCAAATATTGGCCTTTCTAGTTGAAGAGTTATAGTTTCATCATGGAGCGACCTCCCATATCTCAGCAACTTTACACCTACGTTTATGCACTATCTATACAGAATTATATGCCTAACTATACAGAATTATGCATAATGGAACCCTGTGCATAAGTATGCATGAATGTGCATAATTATGGCTGCTTTGTATTTCTAACATGATTTTTACTTAAGGTTGCTGGGATAGAAAGCTGGAATTCAAAAATTAAACTGGAGGATGTTGTACAAAACAGTATTTATAACGCAGATGTAAGATACACAATCATGCACATGTGACACGGACTGCCAAGTTGCTGTATTTCATTTGTTTCTACTCACAAACAAAGTTGTCAGTGCAGCACTGGTCAAACTCTCTGTCCAGAGGCAACAGTGGCTTTTCCAGTGGAGACTGCAGATACAGAAAAAAGTTTTCAGAGTAATGGCTGGAAAGTAATGAGTGTTTAACGGTTGATATGAATTACCATTTCCCACCAAAAAGTCTGTAAAATGTGTTTAAATAATAATTGAAACTACAAAAACAATGAATACAAACAACAGGGTCACTTGCGTTGATTTTAATCATGATGCCTCCCAAAAGTGCATTTTTGGAGACGCTCCAGTAATCACCTGCCTTAGGCCTCTCTTTTTGTATCTGTATGTTTTATTTTTGCATGAGCCCAGAAAAAGCACAGAAAATCAAAAATATAACATGGAGATGTAACTAGTCTGCCAGGACTGCCTTGTGCTGACTTTTCTGAGGTGGGTCATTGAAATTTTGAATGTTACAGGAGAACCGTGTAATATTTATCAATTGATTGTAAACGTGTCTGTCACGCAATGCTAGTTGTGTCAACTACAATCAGATAAGGTAACCGTTGTATTTTGGTGTCATGAGCACTTTATCAACATATCCATCACTTTATCAACATACCTTTGTGAATTGCACAAGCTCTAGTTTCTCCTCCTCTGTCAAAGACCTGGGGAAGAGCAAATACATACATTAAAAAAGTGATTAAATGTCTTATGATGATATCATCCAAGCACCTAAGGGTCATTGACGAGCACGAAATGACAGATTATATCCGAAACTGATTTAATCAGGTTGGCAAGCGACTGAACAAGAAACAACATTTCAGTGACCATGCATCTGTCACCTTCTTCAGGGCAACAATGACTGGTTCTGCTTCATACTGCAGCTATATAGGTTGTCCTGAAGAAGGTGACAGACGGTCACCGAAATGTCGGATGTAAAAACCCACTGGTTGTTAAATAAATAACCTTCTTATACGACAGATATAACACTAACAGTATAAATGAAAACAGCGCTCTTCTTCAAAGGTCATTTATCTTAAGCAGATCAAAAGTCTCAAACATAAACATAGCACAGACTTAATAAAAAAATCTCAGCTCAGCTGAAATGCTACACAACTTCATTTACAAAATAATGTACCTCCATCATTAAATTGTACCAAATTTTCAGCCAACCTTCTCACTTTTCTTTTTCTTCAAACTGATGTCTAACTCTCAGAACAATACTTGATCTGGTCATACAGACATGTAGTCATGGAAGGAACAAGGTTTGAGGAAACCTGCACTTTCATCAAGGGAGACTTTTCATCGCCCAAAAGTAATCTGTCTCAGAGGCCATTTTCATGATGGCTTTGGCTCACATATCTCACATCTCACATAAAACTGCAGATCTTTCTATTTATTAACTGAGCACACACATGGGGTGAAAAGACGAGTGATATCACCTACCTCACACCCTGTAAAACATGTGCATCACTAGAAATTTGCTCTGAATCAAAGACAGCATATTTGAGTCCATACATGTATTTCAAACTTTTCCATGTAGTGCTCTTCAATATCAAGCTTAGTGACAGACACTGCCAGATTTCCTTGGAGAGAGTTGTGGGGAGGGAGGTTATCGTTATGTGCAGCATATCAGGGCCCACAAATCCTACATGTACATACACATGCAACAGATCTGATAAATGTGTGACTATACAGATCACTTATGAACTGTCAGTGAGGAGCTAGGTGTGCACAAGATATATAATATTAGGAATAATTACCTGGTTGTTGACTCCCTGAAGTATTTCCCTGCATATTCCATCATAGGAGATGTCCCCACAGGCAGGGAAGCAAACTCACTCCTTGTGTCAGTTGCAGCCTTGAATCACAACATTATAATTTCTCAGACCTTCTAACTTTCAGAATTCCTTGCAGCTGAATTAAAAGATTATTCTCAGTTTACAGTTGTCTACATGTACCTTCTGTTGACAGTTCTTAAAGGTGGAAACAACCATTGGACAAACTTTTAGGAAGTCTTGGGTTGATCTTGTGTTTCTACATGTAGATATATACTTGTCAATTCTGACCTTAGCAACCATTTGGTTTGGTTGAAAAGTGACTTTGATCTCAGTCTTTCCATTGAAACCCAAACTTAAGATTTAAAAATGGTGCCCTCAAAAAAAGCGGCAGCTATTGCGAAAGCCAGGGACCGGTGATGTTGAAAATGAAGATTGTAATATGGATTTTTCCTCTTGCTTTGAGCCAAAAAATGACCTAGAGCTTCAGCATATATCCCATTGGAACATTACATACTTTAAGTTGGCATAATTCCTATCATCCCCACACATGGGTCTGCATGGAGGGGCACTACTCAGTGAGGGTCTACATGGGGGGTGGGGGTGGTAGTGATTATGAATTATGCAAAATTTTCGCAGCCCAAATTTCAGCTAAATTCTCAGAGCTGATTACCAAGTTACATATTACAGCTATCATTATATGATACTGATTACAAATTACGATGAATTTTGAGCTGCTGCCTACGGATTACGAAGACTTAGACGGGCATGCAGGCCCTCCTTTGTTACTGGATTATAAACAATTCAATTCCTTGTTAATCTGTAGCTTAATTTTACAAATTTTTTTCATTTTGAATACAAATGTGTTCTTTTAGAAAACTGGCCTCTGCTCTTGAGACTTGCTCTTGAACCCATAAGTTCCGTTCTGAAGTTCAAAATATTTTCATTCATTTGTTTGTTCATTCATTCATTCATTCCTTTCCATCCTTTATGAAAAGTGGTAGTTGTCTGACCTGGCTGGTCCTATCTGGATCAGACACAGATGAGCGAGGTGACCTGTGTGCGACCGGCTGCACATAGTCCTTGGGGAAGTAGCCTTTGTCTCCTTTCACCTCCCCCAACATCCAGTCTACAATATACCAATAAGCAGTTACTGTAGCTTACACGATGATACATACGTAATCAGCAATAATAAGTTATAGCTAACAAAATGAAAACTTGGTGCATGTAGTAAAATGTTTTGAGATTATATTTCCATTTTCGTGACAAAATAATTCTTCTAGCCCCTCTGTGTGGCCAGGTACCATTTGCAACACTTGCGCTGCCGCCAGAATTTTCTGTCCAGCATGGTATAAACCTTGAGGTATGCGTGGCTGGAGTTGATACATGTCAGACCATCATGTTTCTTACGGCAGCTAAATTGACACGTCGGCAGCGTCCTTGTAGTAGTCTCAAACATACATGTACATGACACCCGATATGCTTGTCTGCCGGCAATTGCTGGTATGCACTACCTTGCCTTTGTTTTTGTAAAATTAATGCATTTTCTAACATGTCTGTCTCATTATATAATGATATTGGTAAATATTAGTAGTGGCTCTTGTAAATGAATCACAATCTGTTTGTCAAAATATGCAGAAAAGCTTGCTCCGCTGCCCCCTTAACCACCCTAACCACCGGACCAGACAGCTGTTTCTGCGGACCGGAGAGGACAGCTTACCCATATTCCAGCTGTTGCCCGCAACTTATCTGGGATATACCAAATAAGTCTTGGAGCCTATTTTGGATAACGAGTGTTCTGGATGGAACACATGCATCAGGCGAAAACAAACCTCCGACCTGTTCCCATTGCTTGCTGGATACATGTGTGGCCTCAAGATATGATACATGAAAATTGTGACCTTGAACTGTGCAGAGATCAAGTGAAGGTGTTTTACCTGACCGGGTGTTTTCAGACCCATCCAGCTGTTCTGGTAAAGCTGACAGGGACCTGTCAGCTTTTGCTTTACCATCGTCTAGTCATCAGTAAGAGCAAGAAGCAGAAATGAGAAGAGAAAAACAGGCAAAGATTGAGACTGTTTCAATCAGGATTAAGTCAAAGTCACATGGTGTATAATACACTGCAGCCTTCATCAGGTCATTTCAATGATCGCTTGCCAGTAGGCAACAACATACATGTCAAGCAATCTGGAAGAAACTGCAAGAAGTAAATAGGTACTACATGTAGATGTTTGTATGTTCTTGTGTAAGTATAGATGTTTGTATGTATATGACTGTATGTTTCCCCAATTCCTTAACAGTAAAATTACCTGTCACTAATATGCTGTGTGTCTATTACAGCAGCCCTGGAATCGGCATTAAGTACCGCCCGTTGTCTGCAAGCTGTAACTAAAGTGAAGGAAACTGTCCTTAGGGACTTCCTGTTTGCGGATGACTGCTCGCTAAATGCTGAAAACGAGCCTGGGATACAGGAACAATTGGACCAGTTCTCAACAGCTTGCAACTTGGTTGATATTATTATTAACCAACGACCCTCAACGAGGTCAAGGGATAGGTGAGGTGACATGAATAGTATTATTACATCCAGGAACTGTTTTAGAAAGGATGCTTGCAGGCATTGCCCAACAAATTCAATAGGTGAGTCAGATTCTGAAGAAAAGTGGAAATAGTAACATCTACCATTGATTCCAGCAGCATGTCCAACATGTGTCAAATCAAATCAAGAATTATTCCAGTCATTCCAGTCATGTACCAAAAAATGTACATGTCTCCCGCATACATGTGCATGTCTGACCCAGTGCTGGTGCTGATGGGAGGTCTGCAGTTTTTCAATCAGTAATCTCCAATTACTTTTGTAGCCACCATCAACCTAGTCCCATGACCGACACTGGTTGGAGCAAGGCAGATTTTGCAGACATAATGGCAGACTTTCCTGTCTTGGCCTGCTGTCAGGAGTTGTGGTTGATGTTGTCATGTCAGCCTTTCTTCTGTCGTTGTCATTTCCATTCTAGTGTGCCTTGTAGGATGGACTTAGGTTGTTGCTGTGGATCATGTGCCCATACCACTGTAGTTTTCTACGCCTTATATTATCAGTGCTTCCTAGGGGCCAACGAGGTTGTGTACTTGCTGGTAGACATATTCATTTGTCTTGTGTTGGTGGTATAAGATGCTGAGCAGTCTCCACAGGCACTTCGTTTAGAAGGCCTGAATCTTCTGTTCTATTCCTGTTAGAAGTATCCATGTGTTTCGGATCTGTACAGTTAAGTTGATATTACCTGGGCTTTGTACAGTTTGTACTTGACTGCGATGCTGCTGTGGACTATCTATGCTTTACTAGTGCCGTCCTTCGTAAGTGTCCCACCCAGGTAAGTGAAAGAGTCCATTGCTTCAAATTCCTCGCTGTTCATGAGGACGGCTGAATGCAACTCGTCACTAGTACTGCTGTTCACCATGAGTACATGTAAATTGCTCTTCTCGGTGCTAACTTCCATTCCGCAACAGCCAGCGCTCTGGTTGAACTTCTCAGTGAGTGTTTGAAGTTCAGCGTTCCTACCTCCAAGGAGATCTAATAGTCTATAAGATGTCTTCAGCAAACTGAAGATTGCATCTGCCTCCTATAGAGATGGATGTGTGATGGTCGTACAGAGCATCTTGCATAATCTTCTCAAAGTAGATGTTAAAGAGGACTGGTGTAAGCAGGCTACAATGTACACTGTAGTTCTTGGTTACCGAGGAGCACTGTGCTGGTGGTGTTCTTGTACAGCGCTTGGATGGTCTGGACCAGGCTCTCATCTATGTTGAATGCCCTCATGATCATGGCCCACCATAATCCCTTATGCCACACACGGTCAAACGCCGTCTTAAAATCTATGATTCATTTTTTAGTTGTGGTGTAGTTCATGTTGATGCTGCAGGTGTTTTCAATGATCAGTTTACAGTTACAATTCTTCTAATTTTCATTTTCCTTCTTATGGTCTTGTTATATTTAGCTGTCACCAAATTTTTGGCAGTGTTTTTTTTTACTAATCATTACATGTAGTAGGATGGCATTTACAGAAGGATACTAAGTCGTGTGGTTGTTACAGGGCCTTAGGCCACACCAATTTAATTTCTTGGTTAACAGATTCGCCGCTTCATTTTTTCAGATTTGCAAATAAAAATAAAAATCCAGAATCAACTGCAAAATGCTCACATTTTGCCCTGAACAGTTGAAAACAGACCTTTTTATCCTAGTTGTTACAGTTATTCCATCTTTCAATGCAATGGTATCATTAAAAGTTCAAAATTCATTGTTTAAATTTTGAACCAGCCTGGTGAGTTGACTTCATGGCTCCTATCGTACCATTTTGGGCCATAATACGATGCCTAGGCCTGTTTTTATTTTTATTTTATTTTTTCGCCCGCCCGCTCCATTATTCCTCTAGAAAAATCCGTTAACCAAGAAATTAAATTGGTGTGGCCTTACCTTCATGGATATCCTCCCGTAGTTCCTTCAACAGCTTAATGACATCACCTGACTGGAAACTCAACAGCTTCTCTTCTTGTTCTTTCCTGGGAACATCCCGGGTGACATAGCTTCTAGTGGCACGAACATAGTTGGACTCCTGGAAATACGAGGAGTATACACAAATAAATCATTAATATGCTCAGTGAAAGTTTCCTCTAAATATCAAAAAGGTAAAACCAAGAAATATAATTATGCACCTATGATGTGTATCTGGAGTCTAGCAAATATTTTTGTACTGTAATGAACCACTGGAAGAATAGCTAAACTAAATGCTAAAGCTAAATGTGGATCTAAATTAAGTCAAGTCAAATATTAACTGACATGAAGTTCCTGGTTTTTGGTGACACCTCAGAGGCCAATATTGAGCTGATACTGAACTGCAGTTGAGTTGAAGTATTCTAAAATTTGCACAATTGCATCCTCTAGTGAATTGATTTACCTAGTACAACCAAGTATACATGTACCTCAAGAAGCTGTGGATTTGACATATGGTATATACTGTAATTATTCTCTTTATGTTCACGGTAGCAAAAGTTCACGGTCGGAGAAAAATGGACATGTTCATGTCATGGAAATGTTCGTGTTCATGGCTATTATATTCACTGTGGCGACGGTGCAGGAATAAGAAAGTCCAGGAAATATTTGTTAAGTTTACAGATGTGACAGTGAAAACAGTGAACAGTACCATGAAAAAATCAGGAATTACAGTTTATGACATTTGGTGTGGTGTGGTTCAAGCAAGGCAAAAAATGTAAGTCCCCCAGCAACTTTCAATGGTACTGCAGCAAAACATCTGTGTCACATGTAGATGTGTTCTGGACATACTTACTATGACCGTGATTCTTCTGTGAATGATAGATAGCTCTTGGACTGTAGAATGAAGTGATTTACATGGTAATGTAGCATGTTCTAGTGCCCTAGCCAGTTTGGAGGAAATGCTGGGTTTTTTTGCTTGATAAAGACTTTGGAAAAGAATAACTCAAGGTTTGGTTTGCTTTAGTTTAAGGAAGGATGAATGTATGACTTTAATATGCAATGTTACATTATAGTTTATGAGGAGATTGACATTATAAGCGTCTGTTTAATGCACATCAGGACGTTATTAGCTTAATCAATGAGCAACGAGGAAATTTTGTAGTGCTGGATTCCTTGACAGGACTTCAACACATGTAACTTCCTTTTTTTCTTCAAAATTTCAAACCCAGAAAGAGAGGACCAGATACCAGTTAATCACATGAAGACCTTATTTGAATAATTGATGGGTAAATGCTTCAATCAAGAGATTTAGGCATCTTAGAGTTCCTTTTGTTGGGGGAGTCTTTAGAAGAGTCTGTTGTTGCATGATGAGGGACTGGGGGACTGGGAATGAAATATTCTACATTTGCTCACAAATGTTGTCTTGTATTGTTCTTATCATGTACAACATGACTTTTTGATTGTACAATATACGTGGGAACAGGCAGGCAGAAAAGTTATGACAGAATAGCCGTTCGGACAGTCGAACGGACGCTAGATAACGTCTCCGTCCGAACGGCTCTTACCTAACGTGTACACACTCAAAAAAGGCTTAGACGAGTAGGACCAATCAGTGCGCTCGTCAAAATCTGAACGAATATTCAGACTCCAAATGCTACATAAGGCAAATATTACCATAGCACCTGTGGTGCCATACAAAAGGTAGTTTAACTTAATACTTTATAAATACATTGTAGCTAAAGTGTTAAACAAATACTTACTTTTTCAAGATCCTTGATCCATTTTCTAATCATATCCTGAATTTGTTTAGCCTAAAGACCAAGAAGAAATAAAGAGTAAGTCAAATTTGATAGCATACAAGTTTACCTGCAATGGTATAAATTATATTTTTTGGAAGTACATCAGATTCTAATCTATGCTTGCAGCTGGCAATGATGATAATGACTCTCACAATAAAAAAAATTCCTAAAACCAAATTGATTTCCATGTTCTGGACACCAGATTCTAAAACAAATTTCAAAAGACTTTCATTAGCACAGACTCACTGACACACTCACTCACAGTGTTCAGTTTAACATATTAATGAGAATGATTAGGCCATGTCATTCCCATGAAACGGGTGAGAACAGAATGTATCACTAACAAGATACCAAATACATGGAATGGAACAATCCACGGTCTCTGGAAATAGCTCAAATAGTAGAAAATGCCAGGAATCCAAGACACAATTTAGGGTATCCTTACCATTCCTTATGAGTTACTTGTGGACATTTTTTTCATATGCAGTTGTACACAAAGTATGCACGTCATATGCATCTCTTATGACAGATGGGATGAATAGCGTACAGATACATTGTAGCGTACTTGCAAAACATATGGGGTACACTCCAGATTTTGTACAAATATGACATTCTGGCGACCCATGATGACTCAAGGTTGATTATGTTTGAATCTCCACTGGTAATGAAATCAAGAGCCTTTCTAAGTTGAATATGCTCAGAATACCCTTAGCAGAATGACTAGCATGCGGTCAGCAAAAGTTGCGGTTGTTTTGTCACATGTAACATGTATACGCTGTTACTGTATTTGAAGCAAGGAAAATAGTGTTGAATCACAGAAATCATATTATGCACCTCATACACAATTGATGTACTAATTTATTATTTTACATTAGATGTGCCTAATACATATACATAAGTGAAAGTAAACAAACATGTAAGAATTTTGCGAATACAGCTGCAAATGAAGGAAAAAATGCATTATGCAACTGAACATACTCCATTTATAATGCTAGTATTTAAGTGGCTTCATTTAATGAAACAGTATCAGTGCTATTCCAGAATCCCATGTTCGTCCCTACCCTTGGTGTATACAGGGGAATCCTGTTTCCACTGTGTAGGTTGATGTGCAGAACAGTCCTGGGCTCCACCTCAACTGATCGAATGTCCTTGAACCTGATGGATGGAACAGAACATTTTCATGGGAAACAAATTCGTTACTCGCAGACGCACACTCACAAACCCACTCACACACACAAAAGCACACGTCAGATTAAGTCTAGCCTGCAAAGAGTGAAGCTGCGGGTCTAGACAACATTCCTCCGTGGGTGCTAAAAGCTATTTCATGAGGAACTGGTGCCTGTTTTATGTGCAGTGTCTGTAACATTGTGCCTTCCCACAGCAGTAGAAGCAGGCACTAGTCTCAGCCATTCTCAAGAAGCCAAGACTGCACTTTCCAATGGATTACTGGTAGATATCTGTGGTCAGTTGTGAAGGCAAACAGTACGAGGGTCTTCTGCATGACACACTCCTACAAGACACTGCAAACTCTCTGCTACAATCAATTCACTGATGAAGGGTGTCAGATCATCACTATCTTAATGTTGCTATGTACCCTGGATGAGTAATCCTCACAAGCGTATGTAAACAGTTAGCAAAGGATGATCTATTTGAAATTGTATATATCATGACATCCCCAAACAATAATGTACAACAAAAATCTGTGAGTTCATACACACCTGTTTTAAAAAAAGGGAAGAAACATGTAAACTATATAATCAACGATAGCCTTATATGTTGGTCCATCTGTATACAATAGAATTATGTAGTGTTAGCAGCACTTCTGTAGAGTTTTAGTGTTTATACGACTGAATCATGGAAACTACCTGCACTTACATGTAGCCGACATGAGCATGAATGTGCAAATAAACATGATTGTCATTATATATCAGTGCACCAATCTTGCTGTCCATGGAATTGTCATTGCCAGTGAAGAACCCAGATTATATACCTGTAGCGTTACATGGCAGTCAAGTATATTAAATGCTTTGGTTTGGATGTGGAGTGGCATTCTGTATATATTGACATCTTCTCTAAATTGCAAGTGACTTACATGTATGTTAATACCATAAAGCAATGAAATGAAGGCATTATAAGAGGGAAAAAGTTGTGTAAGGACAGGCATGACAGGTTTTGAAGTCACATCAACAGCCTGTAATATACAGGCTGTATACACAGTGAAATACAGATACCCTAACATGTGTATGTAGTCTACAATACCCACAGGAGCCACAAAAAAACTTACCTGAACTCCCTTAACACATGAAGGTAGTCTTTAAATGCACTCTCTGCATCCCTCCTCATGAACCTGACTCCAGAGTGAGACACGCCCAGCATCTGGACCTCTGGGTTTGCCCTGTCACCCTGCAGACAAGTGTTCAAACACTGTCAAACAGGTGAAACAACTTGTACAATATGTGGGAAAGACAAACAAAATGTTTTATATTGTAATAAACTCAAGAGTTGAGGCATCAGGAGATGGTGTTACCGATACAGGGAAGACTCTGCAGAAATAGGTGGGAAAGTCTCGTGCTATGTCCACTACTCTCTTCTTGGTCATTGCAGTCTGTGAGAGATTGGATGGTGTGATGCCATGTTCATCTGAAATTTCAACAAATTGTATATTTGGAACCATTCACAGCTACATGTTGTGAGTAAGCTTTGTAATATCTGGAGATTATCTGAGGTCACATTGACTATTATGTCCATTTCATGACACATATAAGACGTATATTTCACTATAGAAATGAAACAATGATGAAGATACCAAATATGGTTTGCAGCTTGCTGCTCTCCTCAATGGTCATCCTAAGGCAGCTGTTTATCCTGGACACATCATGGACCACCTGGAACATATACACAGTCATTAAGGCATGCACAGATGTACATAATGTATATGGAACGTATATCTTATTGCATTGAAATGACTCAACTTTAAATAATCGTTCTTTGATCTCATACCTTGGTGAAAAATTTAAGTTTTTGGTAAATATGTCATTTGGACATTTAGATTTACCTATACCTGATAATGTTCACATTTTTCCTAATTTTGCAGGTAATTCATTTTCCACTAAGATAATACCATTGGTCATTAATCCCTCAACTAAGGTTCTTATTTGCATACCTATTTTAATAGATAAATTAAAAGAGAGATTAAAATAGTTTGTATACACCTTAAATATCTCTCTTGCCTAAAAAAATATGCCACATGCATGTAAACTTTCATAATATCTCATTCATAATGTTATTTATTTCCCTTTTTCATAATTTGCACTCTCAGTCACTGATGAAAGAGGGAATTATATGACCCACCAGATTATAAGCAACACAAAAAATTTCTCCCATCATTTAAAAACAAAAGAACTTCACAACATGCCATAAATTTTCCTAACCTTAAGATGTCAGATCTAACATCAAAATTAACGGAGGTCGTAGATCTCATGCCTTTGTCAGAGGGACATTGTTCCAGATAAATGAACTTTTTTAAATAATCAATTTGGACTATAGTACATTAATTAATGGTTTGTTTGGTACATATTAAGAATCTCTGTACTCCTTTTTTTTTATTCTACAGAACACCCTGAAAGGGTTCGCCACAGATTTAAGGACACACTGTCGCCTGTTTTAGGCCCCCCCTAAGTTATTTGATTTTTTATTTGACTGTTAGTAGTGTTACTGGAAAAAAAAACCTGTTACCTAAAATTTTGCTTACTGTATTATGAAATGAAATTAGAGGAGATGAAAGGAATGAAGGGAGAAAATCAGAACTGGGTGAGATTAATTGCTGCTTTTATTTGTAGTTACACTATGTTCTTTTATTTAATTTGCGTATTTCTACAGCTAGTATATTCCAAATCTAGGCATCTTAATTAGTTTTTTCGACCCTTCATGCATTTTATCGCGCTTTCGCATTAAATCTAAGGTCTCCAGTGGACGTCATCCATAAAAATTACTTGGTCTGGCCTTAGGGAATGACCTGACACATGTCCAACCTTTTCTCCTCCCACAGTAGTTATAGGACAGCCCCTCCAGATGGGGGACCAGCTGTCCCCCATGTCCCCATCTGAATCCAAGCAGAGGTTGGTGGGGGAAGATTGTTTTATGAATTATCTAAGTCACAAAAGGTCCACTGCAGCAACGTAGGGACTCCCCACGAGGCCCATTTTCAAACTTGACCTTGGCCTCTACTTAATGATAGCTTGCCTAATATCATGAACATATGTTAAAATATACTCGAGTTATCCTGCTAACAAGCGACAAACACAGAACACAATCATATTATACATACTGTTATGGTGATGGTTGTAGATGCATCATCAACTTTCGAGACCTTAACTGGAAGTGTGTAGAATTCTTAATTGAACTGCCTTTGTATACAGTGCAAGATGGATTCTATTTCATTGGCACTTTACTTGGCACCACAAATAAGATGCATGACCCTCCTGAATTAAGTCAAGGTCTTGCAGGAATACTGAGATCCAGGCAGACTGCTGGAGGAGCCTGATGCTGTAGAGAAGGTGATGATGAAACCCACCTGCGCAAACACAAGGTTGAGAGCTGTCGGGTTCTCCAGCTTCTCCATGGGATTAAAAACCTGTGGACCGACAATATAAATACAAAACATGCTGAAAGAATCAAACTACAGCAACTACTTCTACCAATTGCCTCTCATTTGTGTACAAGTAAGTCATGTTTTACAATCATACAAGTTACAAGTTAGTACAAATTTGGACAAGTTCAAGTATCAGTTATGATGGTGACCACTCCATTTTGAATTCATGACACCTTGAATATACATTTTACCATGTACCACTAACGTTACATACATGTACATGTATAATACGGTGGTGCACTTAAAACACAGTGAAAACCTCCTTTCTCCCTCTACCATCATCTTCCTAATACCTACTGTCATACCAAATATTATTACAATCCATCCAGACCTTTTAAAGGACTATGCCGACTACTAACATGTGGAAAAACATGCACCCACACACACCAAAAACAATATCTCCAGGAAAAATATGATTATGAGGTAATTAATGGTATGTTGAAAGTTATAAATGTTGTTATTATGGAAAATCAGTAATATCATAATCATATACTGCACATTGAAACGTTACATTAACTGTTCCAAAGGACAGTTATACTTAATGTTAATGTTAATAAATATATTTTTATTTGTATTTATTCGAAATGAAAGGACTCATTACACTGGGTCAGCCAACAGTGACCTACAAGAACGTCTAAAAATAATAATAGTACATTACCTGATGATAATAAAATAAAATAAAATGGAATAGAATAAAATGAAATGATTCAGAAATAAAATAAAATAAGAGGCCAAACATAATAATACAGGATAAAATGATGACAGGAATCAATCATAATGAGCAATGCAAGGTTTATCAATGTGTCTTTGTCAAGTGCTTTTGAAAAAGCTGGCATTTCAGCCAGGTTCACCATTTGAAAGGCTTTCTCCAGTTACTGAAGTAAAAGTTTAAAGCTATTGTCAAGAGTTAAGATGACAAGCACATTGATTATTATCATGTTTGAATGGACTTTTTTTTTATTGTATGATCAATGAATTACTAGTATGTAAACAATATTTGAGTAAATGAATCAAGTTCATAAATTATATTTATTAAACCTTTCCTGTTGAGACCTAATATTACATGTGACCCTGCCCAATGTAAAGTTATCTGTTTGTGAAATGGTACTTTGGTGGTCCAGTACTGGACTTGCAAAAAAAAAAAGAAGCAAAACCCCTTTTCGTTTTAAACCACCTAAAACCCTCCATGGAATACAAAAATTTGTGCCGGAAAAAGAAGAAAACATTGCCAAAATTTTGTGGTAAAGATGCCTTGTTTCCATTGGGAATTTCATGGAGAAGGTTCATCAGTAGTCAACTTGTTTTCATGTGCTTATAATTGCAAAAATTCATCCAAAACACGTTAGTGGCCGAGAGAAAAAACATCAGCAGGCGGCAGCCATCTTGAATGCTCTGCGTGCGTATGAAACTCTGCAGGTCATTAACATAATGTGTTTACTTTACGTACTTGATTACTGCAATTATAAACAGCTTTTTTTACATCGTTTTGGGCAAGTATGAATTCAAGGCATTTAAGACTACAGAATTATGGCATTTTTTCATCAATTATGCAAATGAGATTATGATTTGCATTAGATCATTAATTGTCATCAAATTATTGCCTCCGGGGGAGGAGACATCCTTCCGCGGAAGGGCTTTGTGAGAGTTTTAGAATTTCACGTTCGCAGCGATTCCTCGCGTTTGAGTGGACGGATTCTTTTGAGACTCGGTATATGTTTTGCTATCGGGCTGCAGATGATGCACGTTCTTTTGTTTCTATTGTATATGTGTTTTCGGGCGTGAAAATGGAGCCTTTTGATGGCCCCAGAACACCCCTTGAGTGAGAAAGTGGGTTGCGACCGTCGATCTTTTGCGTGTGTCAGATATAGTCGGTCTCGTCCACAGTCGCACAGAGGGGTGACGGGTCTCAATAAATTCTTAGTCTTGCGGCGCGCAACAATTGTTGTTGTGCACATACATCTTCTGTATGCGAGGCGCAACAAATGTTGTTTGGAGGGTATTTTTAGTACGCGTTCGCAGGACGCGTGATAGGCAGCAGCCAACTTCCGGGTTGGTCAATGGGTCAGGGGTCAACGTACTCTTGCGCAATCTTTGTTTTGGATGTTTACGGCGTATATTACGACTACTAACTTACAAATACCGCGGTAAACGGTCTCAGACGTTCTCGGCGTGCATTTTTACCGAGGATTCAGACCTTTACTTCCCCGATTTATACGAAGAATTGGCGGAAAATGGAGGAAGTGACAATAAGGATGGCTTGCTACTTCAGCCGTTATTTTTAACGTCTGATTTAACGGTTCCGGTTGTCATTCTGAGTTTCATTACGAGTTCATTGCGGCAGATTAAATAGAATTTCATAAGTTCATGGGTACATGTTATGGGCTGCAGATGAAAATGTTGACCTGTGTTAACACAACCAGGAACGCTAAACACATAAAATTCAACACCATCAACTATACATAACAAACAACATATAGAAATATACAATAACAAGGAAAATCGTAGATTCAAACCTCCGGGTTTTTTTGTATTGTATTGGTTTAGGTTATTTGTTTGTGTGTAGTATGAAAGTTGTGCGTAATATGTTTGTATGTGTTTGATGGCTACTGACGGTTGGTTTGGTATGGACTGTTGATTAACGTGTCTGACAGCCTACACCGTCACCCGCGCCATTACCCCCGCCGTCACCCAAATTTTTATCGGAACCAGACACCCCTCTGTTTGACCCCTTTTGAATGCTAAGACCCAAAACTGCAACCTCCCCATTCCTTAACAACATGGTAAATTCCATTTTCAGCATGGCGGGGGTGTCCGGAGCACTTAAAAACCTTTTATTTCGACGCCCATAAGCACATATGCAATTAAACAAAAACGTTCTGCATCATCTGCAGCCCAATAGCAATACGTATACCGAACAACAGACCAATCCGTCCAGCCGATCGCGAGAAACAGCTGCTGACAGAAATGTTTCGAACAANAATATGTTTGTATGTGTTTGATGGCTACTGACGGTTGGTTTGGTATGGACTGTTGATTAACGTGTCTGACAGCCTACACCGTCACCCGCGCCATTACCCCCGCCGTCACCCAAATTTTTTATCGGAACCAGACACCCCTCTGTTTGACCCCTTTTGAATGCTAAGACCCAAAACTGCAACCTCCCCATTCCTTAACAACATGGTAAATTCCATTTTCAGCATGGCGGGGGTGTCCGGAGCACTTAAAAACCTTTTATTTCGACGCCCATAAGCACATATGCAATTAAACAAAAACGTTCTGCATCATCTGCAGCCCAATAGCAATACGTATACCGAACAACAGACCAATCCGTCCAGCCGATCGCGAGAAACAGCTGCTGACAGAAATGTTTCGAACAATAGTAAAACCTCCTCGCGGAAGGATATCTCCTTCCCCGGAGGTAAAAAGCCTGGAGGTATAAAATCTCAGATTTTACTTGTTTCAAACTTGAACTTTGTTTCCATAACCACTTTTCACCTACCAAATATTAATATATTATGATCTATTCATGGCTTCTCAAGTTATGCTGAATGGATACAATCAAATTTTTTTAAAAATCTGCTGCAGTGATATTGGAAAAAGCCAGGTGGACCATTTTATAAAAAAAACATGACCTACATTTCCACAATAGCTACAAAATAACAAAAAGATCCATCCACAACTTCTTGAGTTTTGACGTTGACTTATATACAGATCTACACCACAGCTGCTCCAACAGGCCCAAACTGAAAACATGCCCTTCTGACGAAGCCAATTAAGCCTAGTACTAGGATTCAAGTACTAGACTACATGTATTACCTCCTTCCTGACACACAGGTTCCAGTGCACTCTGGTGTAGGTATAGTAAGGCCCAGGACTGGGAGGGTAGAGTTCTGTCTTAGTTTGTCCTGACCGGGGAAAACCATCTTGAGATACGACATCTGTAAATACGGAAAAGTGCACATTTGTAAATATTTTAGAATAATAGAAATAGTGAGATGGCAAATACAGTTAGTCAGTTTCCTTGTGACATTTCAGTCCTTAAATCATAGGGAAAGAAACAGATCTTTCTTCTCCTCCTGCCGTGTTGGTTAGGCCACACCAATTTAATTTGTTGTTTCTCGGATTCGCCCTGTCCATTTTTTTCTGATTTGCAAAAAAAAAAAATGTATTTTTTTTGGGGGGGGGGGGTTCTACAATGTAAATCAACTGCAAAAAAAGTTTTCCAATGTAACAATGCAATTTTGTTTCATTGAAAGTTCAAAATCTATTGTTTTAATTATAAACCAGCCTGATATGTTCACTTCATGGCTCATATTGTAACATTTCCGGCTATCATGGGGTGCCTTGGCCTGTTTTTTTCTTTTTTATTTTTCTCTGTCGATTCATATTTTTTCTGAAAAATCAAAGAAACAACATATTAAATTGGTGTGGCCTTAAATGTATTCAAATGTTTTATTGAAAATCAAATTCCACAACCTCATACCTTCCGTAAAAATTTTCCTGTTTGTTGACCAATCATTCGGGCAGAATACACTGCATCACTTTCTGATGGACTATTGAAGGGCAAAATCTGAGGTAGTAAATGATATATCTGCCTTGCAAAATTCATGGCAGCTACATTTATACATAATTATGACCAGCATTTGTCAGTAACATAATTGTATGATTCAGATACAATGTTTGTGTATGTGTGACAAACCAGGTGTCTCTTGTGGTGCTTCTCCCTGACGTCCCTGGGCCTCTGCATTACTAGTTGGGTGATTCTGAGGAAGCACTGGCCTGCCTAGAGGTATTCAATGGAATTAAATACTTAGTAATGTATTAGATTACCTGAGCTGTGAATTGATAGCAATAATACACAAATCTTCTGGTAACATTTATTGCTATTTCATAGCACATAATATACACTGTAAATACATACAGGCGTACTCAAAATTTGAAAACATATGAATCTTGTCTTTTTGACCAGCCTTGTTTTTTTGGCCATATTGCATTAGATGTTGAGTCTACGGAGGATGTCATCCATAAAATTTACTTGCTGTGGCCTAATGTTACCAATTAATAAAAGATGTAGTTCATTCACTAGAAAAGAAGAAGGTTCTTTATGCCCATGGGCCTACATCTACATGTGTATCTACTAGCTCTGTACAAATGTATCTACCAAAGAGGCAGTAAACAATAAGATGCTATAATTTAAAAAATAAAACATTCAACATGACACTGAGCAGACCTGCTAGCCTAGTGTACAGACCTGTTTTTTGGCTGAGCTTCCTGAGGGCCTCTTGGTGTATCTTCATGTCTTGACTCTTTTCAGATACGGCATCTGAATCTGAGTCTGAGGACACCAGTGTTCCGCCAGAGTCTGCTGGTCCAGCACTGCGTGTTGGGGACGAGGACTGTGCCCTTTTGATGATAACGCCTCCAATCTTTGCCAAAGCTGCTCTGTGGGGATCTTCACTTTCCAACGTATTTTCTTCCTTCATGTCTTCTGGCTGCTCTTCTCTTGTCGTGACTGGCTTTGGTACTGAAGGAGGGTTACTGGTTGGGGCAGCTGGAGTGTCCACAGAAGAGGGGAGCTTCTTTTTAACCTCCTTAAGCTTATCCATGGCCTCCTGATGAGGATCTGGCTTCTTCTTCAGTGCAAATTTGGGATGTTTGTTTGGAGATGAAACAGGAAGGATTGAAGAGGCAGTTTTCACAGGTGACTTCTTCTGTTCCGCTAGTTCAGACACTGCAGGTGTGGCTGGTGCTGAAGATTTCTCCCTCCCTGACGTAGTTTGAGGCCGAGGCTCCTTTTTAGCTGGAGAGGCTGTTACTGGGCTGATGGACACTTTCTTAGGAGATCCATGTTTTAGCTGCCAACAAAAGAAACCAGTTTAATAAAGTAAAATACACATATCTGCAGTTTGTAAGGTCAAAGTATGTAACCAGTCAATGGTGCTGATAATGTGTGACCCACTTGATATTGGTTATCGCCAACAATCAAGGACTGACAGTTGGGCATCAGTGCCTTACCTTGTCTATAGCCTGAAGGTGAGCCGACAGCGCAGACTCTTTTGTAGGCTTCTTGTTTTCTGATGAAGAAATCCGCACATGGACTATTCCATCCTCCTGTAACAAATTGTGGTATTTTTAATAATAATTCCTATGGAACCTTTTGAACACTGAGACGTACTTAGGATTTAGTACAAATTGTTACACATTGCAACAATTAGGACTGATCTACCACACTTTTCTCTACTTTGTTGAAAATACATCATAGAAATTGGTCTAAAATTGGTCTAAATTTGTAATCTTCTATGAAGGTATAGTCAGACCCATACCCATGTACATGTACATTAATTACAATATACTCACTTCTTGCTGCTGTCCTTGCTCTGGCTGTTTGGTTTGAAGTGACCCGCTTAACAAGTCAGCAGTGTGGTCGTCAATCAGCAGTTTCCCAACATCACGCTGCTTTTTCTTCATCGGCTTCTCTGAAACAGGCGGCCATTCAATATTGCCCACACGTATTCTCGGAGTTGTCTTGGTGTAGAAGGCATAAGGCCGAGTTTCTTCCTCAGACTCGGTGTTGTCATCATGCCCTGTGGAGGGAGAGTCAGGACCTGCTGCAGGAGGCTCCTGTACAGCAGTCGGGATTTCACCATTGTCATCTGAAAATAAAACATAGAAACATGAGATTGAGAACACTGTAACCTGTTCTAACTCAGCTTTCAACAATGGGAGATGCCACCACCATCATGATGTTTGCAATATGTAAGCAGGCTGTGGGATTAATCCGAGGAACTCCATGCTGTACAAGTCTGTGAGGGAAGTGAATGATAATGTTACTGCCCAGCAACTGTTACAATCACACCGGGACTGAGGAGGCTAGGCAGAGTTCCACCGGCACAAAAATCAACACTTAAAGACATATGAATATCAAGTATTCTTCCATATGTTCCACTGAGAAACTAAGTTTGTAAGGCCTTTCAAAGGTGCATTTTTGGAGACACTGGCAGCTTCCCAATAGACCTTTCCTGATAGAACACATCAAACCTCCCTGTTCTATTTGGAACACCTGGGTCAAACTCAGCACGGGAAGGGTCGAGGTGTCAGTGAAATGCATTGAGGCTCCTTCTTTTACTAGTGAAACCTAGTGTCTGACATTGGATGCACTTTCAAGTGTCTGTAAACACACAATGTATGTTTGAAAATATTAAAAAGAGAATAACTCAAGAACCGGTTGACGGATCATTGCAATCTGACTTTTTGGTATGTAGGTAGCTTACATGATGCTTGATATAATTATGTGAAAATTATGCAAATATGGATATAATTTGCATAATTTATGGGAAAATTCTATAAATCAGCTGCATTCCATGATAGGACTATTGAAGCTTGTGACATTGGTAATTGTGAACGAGAGAAACACAGGCAGATACTTGCTGGTTGAAGGACATGTATTCTGTTTTGTCTGCAATTATATGTAGTCCAATACCTCTTGCTGCTTTTTCCACACAATGGAGAAGAGCCTCCGCTTGTGCAATTTTAATTTCTATTTGTCATTTGCTTAGACTACGTGCTGCGTACATCTGTGGACCAAATGCAAGAAAATGGTCTCACTTTAGAGTAATAATAGACATGCAAAATCTCGAATATACCCTGCCAAATATATCACTGATGCAGATTATGCTGACGATCTTGCGCTTTTCATAGATTTATAATTGTAGGTTGCTTTTTGGATAAGAAGACCACTTGTCGAAGAAGACCAGATTCCTTAGGTCCCCAGGGTGGTCTTCTTATACAAGTTTGACTGTACCTCCATTTTTCATGGAGGTAATAATGAAGAGACCAGAGGCTGACCTGGAAGTTGTTCTGTAATGGACACTGTTGGAGACAGTGATGGGGATTTGCCTGTGCTGCTCTGACTGGTGCCTGAAGCCTGCTGTCCAGGAAGCTGAGACTGTTGGGACAACAAGGCCTGCTGCTGCTGAAGCTTTCAGAACAAGAAACAGAACAATTTAATCATATTCATCATTCAAGCTGGTAAATGAATGCTGTTGTCAAAGATTACAAAACACCCATTGACTGTCCTTTTCAGTCTGGAAAAACACTAGCTCTCTAAAAGGGAAGATTTTTACTTGAATTTTGCCAAGATTTTGACTATTTAATGATTACCTTAAAGTTTGTTTTCGAGACTATGTGTGTTCATTTGCAAACAGCATTACTCGAAAAGTTGCAGATGGAACATAATGATATGTGGGTAAGTGTCAGCAAAATGAAGAAATCATTACACTAAGGACTCCCTGGATGCTTTTATGGTACTGCAGCAAAAATTGACACTGTGAGTGATGATTGGCATAATCAAATGGCAGTTATGCAAATCAGGGGCTAATTTACGTGATTAACTACAAAACAGTAACAAATTCCCAGTAAACACAAGCAGATAGCAACTTTAAAATGAAGTTTTCATTTGCATTATTGTGAAAATGCTAATACCATAATGACAAATGTTGGGAAGTTTATAATTACAGTGTAGTACTTGACTATACAATTGTCTAGTTGGATTCAGTCAGTTACAACATGTAAGACTTACCAGCATCATCTGTTGTGCCAGGTAAGCCTGCTGCTGAAGCATGGCCTGCTGCATCAAGGCTGGGTTCCCCACACCTGAACAGGCAATACATGTACACATTCACAATCACACACACACAAGCAGTATGACAAATACATGTAAGCTATATAACTATACATTGTCAATATCTATCTATCAATTGAAAGATATTATAGATAAACAATGTAGATTATCAGATAGATATAGATACATACATAGATATAGATATAGATACATACATCTGTGTCCATAATATCACCAGGGTCCATAATATCACCACCTTGAGAAACAGTGTGCTTAAAATATATTTTCACTGCAACATACTTTTGGTATGTACTCCTTCACACTTCAAATGTACATACCTACAATGTGTAGGGTATGTTGCAGTAAAAATATCTTTAAGCACACTATTTCTCAAGGTGGTGATATTATGGACCCTGGTGATATTATGGACACAGATGTAAGATACATTTATTTATGTCCTGGGTGTTCCGGCCCGTGTGATAACTAGCGGTACGGCCCGGGGGTTCTTTACGCATACAGCCCGGGCCTTCCAAATGCTCCATAGAACGATTCGAACAAGTTTCGCCCTAACTGCGTGCAACGCTTTCGAAAATTCGAATGCAAAATTCGGACGTTGGAATTGATGTTGTTGCACTTTTTGGGTTTAGGGATACTAACTTTTTGCTCATTTTGCATTGAAAGGCGTGTTTTCTTGGGTGGGTATGACATAAATAAAATACAACACGGTGTATTCCGCATCACCCTCGGTCCCAGCCCTCCCGTGGATCGGATCCCCCTCCGGCCTTTGGGCGATCTAACGCGCGGTCAGGCTGGTACCTCGGGCGATACGGAATGCCCCGTGTTGTATTCTATATGTATATAACGTTACATAGAAAGAAAAGTATATAGATACAATTCACACTGCACCAATTCTCATGTTGATATCATACATATGGCCTCAGTCAGTCAGTACTGAGCCATATCTATTTTACATTAAATTATTACACTTTCTTTACAACTCCTTGGTGTTACACAACTGCTATACTTGATCCAACATATCGATCATGCAAATTAGGATGTCATATTTACAGTGGACTACTGCTATTTATTACATTCAGTTACAGACGGTTACTAATTTTTTTCTTGTTAATATTACGACATTGGGTCCAAGTAAATACTGTAGATCACTCTATATTTGCTGCACATTCATATAATCACATTTTCATATCCTGGATCTATCACAAACTGAACAAATAATTCACCGACTTTCTTTCTTCTGCACCTGCTGCCACCATGAACATATTGTTCCGCAAACAGTCATGTAACGTTATATTTTTCTCAGGCCTTGAAATTTTGCTACCACCAAGCAATTTACAGTAAGAAATGCAAAGAGCCTAGGTCTCTAGGGGTGTAAAGAAAATGAAAAAAAAAGGAATGAAAAGGAGCGAAAAGGAAGAAATATAGGAGTGAAATGGAATGAAATTGAACTTCTTTCACAAACCTTGCATTAGCCCCATACTTGGCAAGAGTCCCATTCCCATTACTCCTGGTTGCATTCCCATCATGCTATTTGCTGCAGTAAGATCTACATTTTGCCCTGCCATGTTGTGAGTAGTAGAGGTTGTTCCTGTAGTCCCTCCAGCTCCAGGTGGTGCAGGCGCCTGTCCACCTCCCTTCATGTGCACTCCCATACCAGCTGCATCACCAAGATCAGAGCTGTCATCTGACAAGACAGGATTGAACAGTCTGTCCAGGTAGTCATCAAGACCAGACTGGGACAGTTCACTATGGGGGAGAGACTGTCCCCCCACAGAACGGCCTCCAACACTCCTGTGCCTGCTTCTTGCATCTCTCTGTGGTCTCATGCCCATTCTCCTGTTGGATACATGGTGTTGAGGAGTTGATAAAGACGATGCTGGACTCCCGGGGGCCTGGCTGTACCTCTGCCCATCCTCTGCGCCATAGTCTGGTGCAGGTGGCAGTCCATAATCACGAACGGGTAGTTTGTAATCTCCCTGGTATGTCAGATAGTCGCTGGTGTCTGACACATGGACTGGCACTGACTCTTTATCAGCAGCTTGCCACTGAGCAAAGTTATGAACATACTGTTGGGACACTTCTGTGTGCTTTATGGGGCCATCATGTGGATATCCCCTTACTCCAACCTGTAACAGTGGAGAAACCTTGGTGGGGACGTCTGAGAATGATATGTCCACTTCCTCAGCATTGCTCGCCATTTTATCTGATGATACAAGAAAGAATGATTTGCAGACAGGGAATCCAGGTGCCATTTCCATCTCTGCAATGAGATCTAGAACATAGTCGTACCCTGCCAGCTCATACTCCTCTGTTCCATCCTGCAGCACAACAGTCCAGCCCAGGTTCTCATCATGGACCCCTCTGAAGGAAAAACATCTTTTAGTTTCACCTGGTCAAGACATGTGAGTAAGCCTGATCTTGACTTTTATCACTGATTTGGGGGAACGTATATCAAGGTTAAATTTACAATGCAAGCCTATGGCCATGCCAATTTTATTTGTTGCTTAGGCCACACCAATTCAATTTGTTGGTCATCAGATTTTTTCATAAAAAAATATAAATGACAGGTTGAAAAAAAATAAAAACAGGTGTATAGGCTTTCTATGATAGCCCCAAATGCTACAATAGGAGCCATGAATTCAACACAAAAGGCTTGGTTAATATCTTAACAATGAATTTTGAACTTTTTATCAAACCTCTGCATTGATAGATGGAAAAACTGTGGGAACTAGGAAGAATGAAGGACTTTCCTCAACTGTTGGGGGCAAAATCTGTGCATTTTTGAGTTGATTCAGAACCAGAATCTTTTTTTTTTTTGCAAACCAGAAAAAAATGAAGAGGCGAATCCGAGAACAAACATATTAAATTGGTGTGGCCTTATGGATTTTTCAGTGACAGGGCGGGGAAAAATTCCATAATTATGGCAGTCTTCTGTCACCCTGGTATTATTCTAGCCAAGTGGCGTTGACCAATCAGAAGCCCCCATTTCATATTGACTATGACACTATAATGTCACAGTTAGCATGATACAAGTATTGCAAAATCATCCCAAGTGTGCTTTATTTCACAAGTGTGACTTTGTTGCAGAATAATGCACACTTGAGAGTAAACCATTATGCTAACATTTGTAGCACATTTACTTGTTGAATAGAAACAGTCTTGTCATCAACCAATTCTTAAAGCAGTGCAAAACAAAATAAAGACCATGTCAATGAATTTTGAGCGAAAGGAAAGTATTTCGCGCCACCCCACTAGTAGGTACAGTAACTTTTCTGTATTGAAACATCCAAATGACCTCAGATGACTTCAAATGGAAGCTTGCTCTATTCTTTTGGCCCAAAATAACCACATATGGAATACTGATTCTGTTCCAAAGTTCCGGTGAACTCATATGAACTCTGATAGAACAGGTAAAAAGATCACACTAATATGACTATTTGTTGTTGTTCAAGGAGGTTTAAGATTAGATTTGAACATGTGAGAATCTTGTTTTTTATTCAATCCCATCCTGTTTTCCTTTGTTGATTGTTTTGCCCTATTGAATTTAGATTTTGAGTTATGCTGTAACAGTCAAACAACAAAATAAATGCATAAAAAGCCCCCTGCAGTACTCTTGGAAAATAGCCAGGTAACCAATGATCATGCTGAATGGTTTCTTCACGCCAGTTAGTGACCAAGGACGCGTTGAACAACTCGGAAACGACAAGTGCAGACGAGGAGTTTTATTCCAGACGTGTTTACAACACGGAGTCGGTGTTGGGACTGACTCCTGGAGGGGTCACATAAACTATGAGCGCACGGGCTCATTAGCATAACCAACTCTTAGTGGCGTGATTCCTTTTCTTCTTTCTTTGCTTCTTTCTTTCTATCTTTCTACGGAGGTTTAACGTAACGTTTTGAAACATATATCATCATGTGTAAGATACAACTGATTATGTTTAAACAAAAGATAACGAACTAGCCCTGAACTTGGCTGACCTTCTATCTTTTATCTATATCAGTATCAAAAACTAGGTCACTAACTAGCCTTGCTAGATGAGTCAAGAGAAGAAATATATGTCATACTAGATACTGCATGTGAACATAAGAAAATACATGTATATCATCGTACTACATGTGGATGGGAGATCACATATCATATTACGAGTGGGTCAGAGTTCAGAATGTTCGTCAAGTAGATGTTCAGGTAGCGATTTTAAATGTTCTGTAACAGGTCCAGGTAGCGATTTCAAATGTTCTGTAACAGGTACAGTTCAGTTCGTGGTGTGGCCGGTACAGTTCGGGTCTAGCTAGATTGTGTTATCGACGGTGGTGTCTTGGTCGTAGTATGTACTCGCGATCGGCTTCCGGGAGATGTGGGCAGGCACTCAAGTAGTGGTCGATGGAAGGTCTGCCTGATTGCTTGCACAGAGGGCATTCTTTCTTGTTCTGGGGTTGCTGTCCCTGAAGCTGTTTGTGGGGATGCTGCAGTCGCAAGGTTCTGATTTTCTTCAGTACAATGTAGCTCAGCTAGCAGGGACTTTAAGGGCCAATGAAATCTCAGGTTTGATAGAAGCCAACGTCTTGTGTCTCAACTCTGCTCCATACCTCTGTTTTACTAGGGCAGGGAGATCTGTGTGTAGCATTCTCAGCCATACAGTACTATCATGTTTTCCAATGATGGAGTGACTTCTTCGTCGGTGGTTACAGCTTGACCGTGATGGGTAATACCCCCCACACTGGTAAGTAAGTTGTCGTCTACGGCTGCAGTCAGCCGCTGGAATAAATCTTCCGGTCTCTCGTTTGGTTCTAACTTGACGCTAGCAATGTCCAAAAAGTACCCTCCGGTGGACTGAAACCCGAAGTGAAGCCGTATCGCTTGCCATATATCTGACAAAGAGGTACTTGCCTTGACTATACGGTTACGGGAAATGATGGGGCAGAAGTTAGCTATCTGTCCCAACATGAGGTCCAAGCTGGCCGCCTTCTGCGCCGCTGTTCGCCGTGCGTTTTCTGGGACAGGGTCGGCATCATTCGCGAGACCGCGGTTCTCTACTCCTTTCTTTTGCCAGGTGAATCCGTCGGTCAGGAAAGGAGCAAATTTGGTGTCGAGGGACAGAACGTACACGAGGTTCGATCGCCAGTTCTCGAAGGAGTTGATCGTCTCAGTCTTGGTTAAGCACCACTGGCGCGGAGCTCGAGTGGCGGTCGCCATGATGTCAGAACAAAGAACAAAGGAACTGACCGAGAGAAGCACGTGCGTTCGTCTGGGCGATGCAGGAACACGCCTTGTTTTGGTGCAGTTCGGTTGCGGACCTGGCGCAAGCTGTCTTCCTAAACGAAGGTTGGCCCAATCCGTCCGGTGCGGGGAACTCTCTTGGTTCGGTCGCCAACCGGCACGAAATTGTCCTCTTCGCAGAAGGGCTGCCCGAGTGCGTGGTTGAACTCACAAAGGAACAAGATGGCGGGCGCGCTGCACTACCGGATGTGGCCGGAGAATGTCGATTCTCCGCCGGCTGGAATAACTGTGGACAGTCTTCCCGGTTGCGTCTTGGAGCCCCGTCGGTCGCCTCCCTGGGTGTGCCGTCGCCGAAAGTGGTTCCGCGTGGAATGTGGCGAAAGGCTGAGGATCAGGGAAGGCTTGCTGACCTCGGGTGACTCTTTCTGCGGTCAAAGGAGGATGTCTGTCCGCCTCGTTGCGTGTCACTCTCCGGATGCTTTAAGGTGCGATCTCTTGGACGAAGTTTTGACGAAGCATGGGTTGGACGTATCCCACCGCTGCCACCACGCCAGTTAGTGACCAAGGACGCGTTGAACAACTCGGACAACGACAAGTGCAGACGAGGAGTTTTATTCCAGACGTGTTTACAACACGGAGTCGGTGTTAGGACTGACTCCTGGAGGGGTCACATAAACTATGAGCGCACGGGCTCATTAGCATAACCAACTCTTAGTGGCGAGACTTCAACGAATGGTCGTGTATTGTGTAAGCTATAACCTTTAGACTTCTATTACCAGCAGAGTGTGTTGATTGGCGTGATTCGTGCGTTGTACACTATATGTTTTGATCCTGACCAATCAGGGCACCTGTAAGTGTTGTTTGCAGGAGAGAGTACATAAATAGTGTCAGCAGCTTGTGTACACAGTGATCTGTTGGCCGCATTCTTGTACTCGTATGGTGCTTCACATGTTTTTCTCTTGCGTCCACGTTGTTTCAT